GATAACCTTTGTTAGAAATTAATGTGGATAACACATAGAACAAAAATCACAAAAGGATACAATATTTACGTGGTTTGGCGAAGATGAACTATGTTCACAGGCAGGAAGAGATTATTCTTATTCACAGAGTTTTCAAACATATTCTAATGTACCATGACGATGCATTAGGTGTGATTGAGTGACACCTTCTCTCCATAGAGTTTTTTTGAGGTTCCATGACGGTGCATCAAGTACTATTGAGTGGAATCTTGTCACTTGGTGGCACTTCTTCATAATACTTCATCGAGGTACGCATCAGGTACCATTGAGTGGCACCTTGTCACATGGTGACACTTCCTCTTCATTGTGCTTATTTGAGGTGTCATGACGATGCATCAGGTGCAATTGAGTGGCACTTCATGTTAATGGCATTTCTACTAATGATCCATCCCCAAGAGTGACATCATAAGCATGAGTGTCATCATATTGATGAGTGTTATCATATCCAAAATGCTCCATTGAAACCAGATGTTCGATGAGAATATTCCAAATGCTCAAGTTATATTTAACAGTACGGTTTGGGCAAAATCCTGTCAAGATGCTCACCCATGGTCCACCACAATAGAATTTGGGATGCTTTGGGCCAAGTTCAGGATCTTAATTAAGATCCAATAAAAATCTTCCTCTTCACAATTCTACATGCTATGTTTTTTTTAAATGAACTCATCTTTATATGAAAGTGAAATGATTTTATAGTGAATGAATCGGTTTAAATTAAGTATGAATAAGTGTTTTTGGATTAATACGTTTATACCGTACTAGAATAAGGTGGTAGGTGAGAATTTTATATTTGTTAGGTGCATCAACATCCTTAAATTTTATTACAGGCGTGAATGTACAACTTTAGAGTTTCGGATGTACCTTAGTGAACATGTCAAATTCTAGACATCGTTATGTCTAATCAAATATAGTTTTTCAGTCTTGAATGTAAACAATGAGTCTGATATGTCTCGTTTCGGATACAAATGTCGTTTTCCCAGTACCCAAAAATTTTGGTTATTTCAAATAAACGTTATGGTCATTTTTTTGTCTAGATCCGTTTAGTCTATTGTTTATACATAGATTATCTGATAAATAGAAATTATAAAACAGAAGTTCTTGGATATAACTATGGAATGGTCATTATGACCGATATATCCATGGTCCATGGAATAGTCATTATAAGACCGAGTCGTATATGTGATTTTATTTGATTAATAAATTGATGTGAGTATCTAGTCTTAGGTTCTATTAGAAAATTATTGGTCGTAGTGGTTGAGATGTTACTCATAATAATTTTCAAGATTTTGTATGTGTGGAGAAAATCTTATATTTTTAAATACCGACTTTGTGGTCAATGAATTTCAATAACATATTTCTTCTAATCTTCTTCTCTGACCATGACAATAGAGTGTCTATCAGGTTTTTATTTTTATTAAGTTTATTGACGAAAAAATTTACTTTATGACCACTATAGCAGCCCAAAATATGTTGGATATCCTGTGTTGAACCAAAAACTTAAATTTCTGACATTTAATTTTTGATAAGTTTCGTAAAGTTTCTTTTCTCAGCTTTAATTGTTTTCGTTTGTAATATGAATAGTTAGTAACTGTCAATTTCATTGTTTCGTGAGGGTGTCTATTTTTCTTGGTAAACTAAGCATACGTTCATACTTACTAGATTCATGTTATTATCACCAAGGCAACCATCACATGAAAAGATGGGTTTTTGAAACTCATATTGTCGACTATAAAATCTAATAATTTGTCAACTAAGACTATACAATGTGCATTTAACGCAATACAAGGTAATAATTAGGTGTCAGCGCATCGCATCACATCACGGACGTCGACACCGCCCCCTTTAGCCATGATGGCCATGATGCTGAGGTGGTGTGATGTCTTGTGACCCCTCTCGCCGTTGGGATGTCAACGGGGGCAAACGGGACGGACCCCCTATGGGACTTTTTGACAAGTAGTCATTTACCCAACTAACTTTATTTACAATTTATCCAATTTCTACATTTTGTCTCTTAAACATTACCATTTTCTTGCTCTCACAATATGGAATTTTCAATTCCCCTTCTCAATTTCAAGGTGTTCATCCCTAAATTAAACATTCCCAAACCCCATCCCATATGCATTATTCTCAACCCGAACCGGTGCCCGAAACATAGTCCGAGTTGGTCCCAAAACACAACCCAAATTATCACGACCAGGAAAGAGCTCTAAAAAAGGAAGTTGCACTGTGTGGTGCATCGGTCAACATTCCTTAAAAATTAAAATGGAGAGATGATTTTGTAGTAGACAACCTCCTAGCCACATTTTCGATGAAAAAACAGTTAGGGTTATAATTTTTATTATGTAATTTCATTTTTTATGAATCAGTGAAATGTTTAATTTTAATTTGTATTTATTTAATAGATATTATTGTATTATAAAAATTGAGTGAAATGGAGTGGTCATCACACAGTGGAGATGGAAAAATAATGTGTCATTCAGATGAGAGACTGATGTGGAGTGAGGGGAGGTGACTACACCTCCATAGGATAATAGAGCAAGTCGTCTTTGCTATAGGTAATTTGCTTCGTACTTTCTTTTGAATCTATCTTGAAAGTGAACATATGTATTGGATAACAATGACGGTAGCAATAGAGCGAAGTCTTCCTCATCATATTTTATGCCCATGTTCTCTATGTTTCCAACCAACTCTTTGAACGTAGAAAGATGATATATCAAATAGCTTTCCTCGTTCATTGATATTAAATGTATTATATATATCCTAAGGGACATATTTAATACTTTTTTCACATTTTAATAGATATTTGATATTGAAAGGGTATAAATTTGTATTTTAAAGATTATAAGAACTAAAAGATAAAATATAAGATATTTGTAGCATATTCTTGAAGAATTCATAGTTTGAATACTAAATATTATTTAAATAAATATATCTCCAAAATAGTAGAAGATTTCGAAGACTTATGGAGATCTTGAAATTTCGGTACGCAAATTTCTTGTTGCGCCAAGAATTCAACGGCTACATATTGCTACAAATTGAAACTCGATTTCGTATTTTTGAAAAAAGGAAGCAAAAAACCTAAAGTTACAACCGTTTGAATTCTAGAAGCAAAAAAGAAGAGTCTTTTCATTACACATTTAGTTTTAACATCGTTTGCAATATGTTTAACATTTCAGTTTATTTCAGCTATTTAGTTTTGATTATGGGCTAAGTCTCTATACTTGCGTTTAGATGTAGACGTTCAAAGTTGATTATGTTTTAATTAATTGAAAGGAATGTGATAGTTATTTAATCTATTATGTTAAATGTTTGACTAAAGATCCATGAGTATTGATAACAACTTTGTCATATTTATGTAATTGAGTGCATGGTTTAAGGGCCGGTCTTAAGAATTTAAATATCCTTGAATTCTTAGGACGAGCCAGAAAAGGGCCCTTATCGACTATTATATATATATATATATATATATATATATATATATATATATATATATATATATATATATATATATACATACATATATATATATATATATATATATATATATATATGTGTGTGTGTGACAAATGGATTTTGTGAGACAAAGGGATAAAATCTTGACCACTCATCTCAAATAATCAATGGTTAGGAATAAAACATAAACACACTATAAAAAGGCTGATGTAAGCGGTGGTAATTTTGAAAATATGTCAAAGTTTGTGATTAACTATGGACCTGGAAGGATAGTCTTGTCATTTTGCACTCAAATCATGTGACAGTTGATTATTTTCTTCCCAGTCATGATTTGTTTCTTCTTTCTCCCCTAAACTTTTCTTGATCTGAATTTTTCTCAAGCGTGATTCCATAGAATATGAAATCGATCCAAAGTTTCTCAATCTTTTTCCACAAAACCCTAGAAATCTGCCCTATCAATGAGAACTCGCAACAAAAAACCCAAGTTTTGGTTCTGTATCAATTCAAGGAAAGTCCATAGTCGCATCCCTAATTATCTAGATTTATTTCTCAATACATCGATTTGTTCAGATCAAACATCGATCATGGTTGTTTCAAACACAAAAACCTATCAAAATGGGAAAATTACCTCTGTTACACGTTTTCTGATTTTAGGTTTTAATAAATTAAATTTTATCTTCTCTGAATATCTTAATAGTATATGAAACGACTCTTCGATTAATAGTTTGTTTAACTTGTTATGTTATTTTGTTGATTAACAACATAATGTAACATGTAACGCTCCGATTCTCAGGTATGGATTTAAATAAAGAATTTCCTTAGTTTTAAGTCCTACTCAACGAGTTAAGGCTTCCCTACTCGTCAAGTAGCAGCGAGGTGGGATCGCGAATTTAGTGACCTACTCGCCGAGTCCACAATGGGACTCAACGAGTAGGAGCTGGCAGATGAAACCCTAAATTTCAGGGCATTTCACCCTATTTAAAGGATCATTGGCCATCCCCTAGCCTCCCCTTCACTGCCTCTTGTCCCTCTAAAGCCCTAATCGTGTGTGAGCTCATCTTGTGCATTCTTAAGCTTGAAGGAGGATTTTCTTGGAGAGAAAAGAGCTTGGAGGTCAAGCATTAAGAAGCAAGGAGCTTGAAGGACCTAAGATCTATTGTAGTTAGCATCTTCTGGAAGGTATAAATCGTTACCCTAACCTCATTCATTCCTTTGGGCAACTTCTAGGGTTTTCATAGTATGTTTGGAAGCTACTCTTCTTTGCAATCTCAGATCTGAAGTTGTAACTTCAGAACTGAGCTCCTTTGGGCTTCTTAGTACATAAAGTTTCCAGCTTGTGCATGAATGAGACTCTCCCAAGGTGTAAAACTCCATTGGAAGCTTAGATTGGTCATTTAGAGCCTTTAGAACCTTGCATGTGCGTAAAGTTTGCAACTTTACGTGATAAACATGCCTTAGAATCTTGGACCTGTAATCTGGAGCCTTGTCATGGCTTAAAAAGCGTCTGCATGGTTGGAGGTCTGCGAGGACTCGGCGAGTTGGATGAACAACTCGGCGAGCCCGATGAATTTGGCCGCGAACTCGACGAGTTGATGAACAACTCTACGAGTCCGTTGAAGTTTGTCTTGAACTCGACGAGTCATTAGAAAACTCGGCGAGCCAACTAAGGTTCCCCCGATTCTTGGACACGTATGAGCTCGGTGAGTTAAAGGAGAACTCGTAGTCAAGGATTTCATGACTTCTCGAGTTCATGAAGGACTCGACGAGTCGATGAACTGCACTCGACGAGTCGAGTCAACATGGGTTGTTGACTTTGACTGTGAGCATTGACTTTGACCAAGAGTTAACCAGATGACTTCTGAGGGTATTCTGATAAATTGGAAACTTTGAAAAAGGGTCTTTATGGTATTTATAGGTAGTGAAGTTCGTGTTGGTGATTCGGGAGTTGAAGCTTTCTAGTTCTGACGTCAGCTGCGAGGTGAGTTATCCTCACTATACTAAGGGGTCTAAGGCACCAAGGTTGGCCCATTGGATTCGATATCTTAGTAGTTACTAATATGTTGAGTTTGAGTTAGTAATGTATGCCAGTTGTTATTAGGGATGAAAGTGGGTCCAAACCCGGATCGGATGGACCCAGACCCAGAAAACCCGGAACCATTTAACGATATTTTTTAGAACCGGAAACCGGACCGGTATATAGGAACCGGGTCCGGTTCGGTTCCGGGTTCAGTTCCGGGTAAAGTGGGTCTAGAACCGAAAAACCCGGAAATAGGAAAGTGGGTAAGGTAGAACCGGGTCAAATGGGTTTAGAATCGGAAAACCCAGATTTTTTTATTACCTCAATCGCATAATCTTTCAACCGTTATAAAAAAAAAAAATTAACAAACAAAAAATTACATTTAGGTTATTAGGTTATTGACGATATTGATTTATTTAAAAAAAAAATAAATAGATATAACAATATTGGTTTAAAAAAATGACATGCAGAAACAACAGATGGTTTAGATAATGGGATTCTTGTTCCTGATTCTGAATCTGTTATATCAAGCATCAAATACCATGCAAAGTTCACACCATCATTCTCTCTAGAAAAATTTGACCTTCCAAAAGCATATTATGCTACTGCTGAAAGCATTCGTGATATGCTCATCACTAATTGGAATGCCACATACAATTTCCATAAAAAGATGAATGTGAAGCAAGCATATTACTTATCTATGGAGTTTTTTCAGGTTTGTTGTAGTCTTCTAATGTATCACCATGTTGACTTCTTAGTGAATATGTTGTTTTAACGTTCTTTCTTCTTGAATTTCATAGGGCAGAGCATTGCTAAATGTCATTGGTAATTTAGAGCTTTCAGGAGCTTATGCTGAAGCTTTAAGGAAACCGGGTCATGATCTGGAGGATGTTGCTAAGGAGGTGAGCTTATTAGATTTTATAGTATTGTACTTAAGTTTTTCTTATTATAGTATTTATTAATGATTATCACATGGCATCTTAGGTACATAATTTGACATTTAATTTGGAACTCTAAACATGTAACGATATCATATCATCATATATATCATATCTGCCTTGTCTTAAAATTTAAAATCATGTAGATGAAGAAAAACAAGTATTTAATCAACAACCATTGAACATTCACAGTCAAGTTTCACAAAGATCTAGAATTCGCATATGCAAGAATTATAGGATTCAAAGTTAAACCTTTCAGGTGAGATATGATATAGTTTATAATTCTCATAAAATCTTACTTTTGGAGGTTAATTATTAATTAGCCATATTTTTTTTTTGTGTTTTTTGGTCAGTGTTAAGCATCAATATGATGGTGAATAGAACCAATATACTCGCCTGACAACCTGCAACCTTCATGCCAAAAAACTGGTTGCCAGAGCCCAGAGTTGATGCACCACAAGAAAATGAAGAAAAAAACCAGATCATCTTCACTTGCGATGTGATAATTTGATCTAGGTCTTTAGATATATATAAAGTTATCAAGATTAGGATCTCAAATCCTTTATGTTTTCCAAGATCATTGTTAACAATCGATGAATATCAAAATATAAATATCTTATTTATGCAGTATGCATTGTAACTTGACAACTTACTTGTGTAGCTTCATTGTTATCTACCCAATTGTCCACCATTGGTCTTTAATTGATTGTAGGAGATTGATTTGAAGTTCAATTGGGAATGATTGTAGGAGACTGATTTGATGATCGTCGACCTGAATGATGACCTGAGGATTAGTATCGGCGTAAATCGACTGAGGCTTGGGCTTCAGTATCAGCACAAATCGAGTGAGGAACTGAATGATGAACTGAGGTTTAGTGTCGCCGCAAATCGAGTGAGGAACTGAATGATGATCGTCGACCTGATTTGATGATCCTCTGTGATCGATGGCTTTTTTTTCTTTTCTCCGATCGACGAACATTGAGGGCACGGGGAAAAGAAACTAATCGTATTCCGGTTCACAGTAAACATATTTCCTATACCGGTTCCACATCTAAATCGGTTCTTTGGCCAACTAAACCCGGACCCAGTCCATTTAACCCGGTTCCGGTTTTTTAAACAAATCCGGTTAAAAAAAACTCGGATTAACCGGACTCGTTAGACCCATACCCGAAACCCGGATAAGAGTAATTTAGAAACCCAATATAATCGGAAAATGCTTAAACGGTCCGGTTTTCCGGTTCTAAATCTCATCCCTAGTTGTTATGCTAGTTTGGTAGGTCGGTAGGACTACCTGTGATACTGATTGATTACATGTATGTGCATTTATCTGTTACATGTCGACATGTTATGTGGGATGGGTTGAGGTTGTACTACTCCGTGCGGTAGCCAACAAACCCTAGAGTATTCCAGATATGAGCTGAGAGCCCTGTAGGCATTCCAGACTCATACTGAGGACTCGGGAGCATTCCAGATACGAGCTGAGGGCCCGATAGGCATTCCAGACTCGTACTGAGGGCTCGATGGCATTCCAGATACGAGCTGAGGGCCCGGTAGGCATTCCAGACTCGTACTGAGGGCCCAGGGGTAGTCCAGCTTGTGAAGCTGTGGACCCAGTGCATGTTGTGCTGTTTTGATTGATATGATAAGCTAATGTTGATATTGCTATGTGGACTGTATGTGTATCGGTATTTTGGGGGTAACTCACTAAGCTTTCGGGCTTACAATTTCAGTTTATTATTTTAGGTACATCAGGGGATTGAGGCAAGGCCAAGGCGTGATTGTATGTGAAGTGTACGATCAGCCGGAGCCAGTAAGTAGACCTCAAAATACCATACAGTTATTTGATTATGTGATATGTTAGAACAACATGCTGGTACTAGGCTAGGGATCTTCAGGAGTTGCATGGTAGAATTGTCTGATTACATGATGTCTGCTAGCCTAGGGTCTCCCTTATATGAAATTGACATCATTACTGTAGTTATCTAGTGTATGCATCACGGTTATACATAATTAAGATCTTATAGCCTGAGAAAGTCTGATTTAGCCTTATGTTCTGTTCTTGTTTGATTGGGAGCTTGGGGTAGGATTGAATATTCGAAAGTCTATAGGGTCCAATATTATGTATGGCTAGCATACACTAGTGTTGCAGGGTTAGTGGAAGTTTCGTGGATGGATGGGTTGTTTGGGATGAGTCCGCCGACTTCGAAGCATTTGGCCTTCCTTTAGGAGTGAGGCATGAGTGCTAGATATGATTATGTGTATTGTTAGGGCTTTGTGATGATACTTGGGACAAATATGGGTAGGTGTGGAAGCTAGTATGGGCCCGTACAACTGAAAGCACAAGACCCATACGCGTCACAAGGAAGTCACAACCCCTAGTGTTTTGTCAAAGGTTGGTCCCCAGTATTCATATGAGTCATCTGACATCTTGTGTTATGTTTCAGAATGGTGATGACCAGGCGCTTTGTGACTGGATCCGGTTCGGGATCAGGATCAGGATCAGGAGAGGGCGGACACGGGGAGCTGACATCCCGAGACTATCAGCCAGATGAGGCCAGATGAGATGGATGACAGGATCCGAGCGATCCTGCATGATGAGGTTGTTGCATTGTTTCGGGACGAGTTGCCGGAAATGTTCGGGTCGATTAAGACCGCCATGGTGGAGTATTTTGATGAGCGTTACGTAACCCTTGCAGAGACAGCTGCATCAGCTGTATCTATGGCAGGAGGAGGAATTGGTATGCGTTTTCAGTACAGGGACTTTGATAACACGAAGCCCCTACTTTTGATGGGACGCAGGATCCCATCAAGGCTATGAGATGGATTTCAGATGTGGAGGGGTGTTTCTTCACCTGCTCGTGTCATACTGACCAAAAGGTCAGGTGTGCTCTAAACCTGCTTAGGTCCGGGGCCAAGGTCTGGTGGAGGCTTGCGAATGGGGCTTACACTGATGATCAGAGAGCTATTGTTACTTGTGAGCAGTTCAGGGATATGTTTCGCGCCCGTTACATCCTGAGGGTTGAGCGAGAATGTTTGGCGTAGGAGTTTCTGAGTTTGAGACAGGATGGAGAATCGGTGACGGAGATCACCCGGATGTTTACCGAGCGGGCGATGTTCTGCCCAGAGTTTGCTTCCGAGCAGTCTCAGATGACCCGTTATCTGAGTATGCTCAAGATTGATATCCGACAGTTTGTATCTACCCAGCGATGTGATACTCTTCTGGAGTTGCAGGAGGCCGCTAGACGGCAGGAGTTAGAGATTGAGATGCAGCTAAGGGAGCAGCGGTCGGCCCCTGCACTATCACATCCGGCGCCGAAGCGGTCTAAGACCGCTAATACTAGGACCGGGGGTCAGCAGGGATGTCGGGCTGGTAGTGGGTGCCACAAGTGTGGCAAGGAGGGGCATTACACGAAGGATTGTCGCCAGGCCGCCCGAGTTCAGGGTATGTGTGACAACCGTCCAATTTCGGTCAAGTCAAAGTCAACTAAAGTCAGCAAGTCAAACCGTTTGAGTCAATTTGCCCGTGAGTACTAAAATTTACACTATGAAACTTCTACATAACTCTCTATTCTAATGAGAAATCATAAAGCAAAATTTGCGAACACCTAGATCTCCTTAACCTAAAATTGTGGTATGTGGCGAGCCAAATCGATAAAACAATGTTGCATACTCATCGGGAGTGTGTAAGATCCTTAAACAAGGCTTAACAGGGTTTACGAACCTTGCATTGCGAAGTCGGACACTCATAAATGCCACACATGAAACCTCTCTCAATCGTTTTCACTCTATCTCTCTCTATGCCAAAACTCTCCCAAATCTCTCCAAGTATGTCAAATCCCTCTCAAATATCTCTCTGTATTAGAAATCTCTCCAAGAATGTCAAATCTCTCCCAAATCTCTCCAAGTATGTCAAATCTCTCTCAAATATCTCTCTGTATTAGAAATCTCTCCAAGAATGCCAAATCTCTCCCAAATCCCCCCAAGTATGTGAAATCTCTCTCAAATATCTCTCTGTATGAAAAATCTCCCCAAGAATGTCAAATCTCTCCTAAATCTCTCCAAGTATGTGAAATCTCTCTCAAATATCTCTCTGTATGATAAATCTCTTCAAGAATGTCAAATCTCTCCCAAATCTCTCCAAGTATGTGAAAACTCTCGCAAATATCTCTTTGTATGAGAAATCTCTCCAAGAATGTCAAATCTCTCCCAAATCTCTCCAAGTGTGAGAAATCTCTCCCAAATCTCTCTCAAAAGTTTCCCGTAACTTTTTAGAATCATTCGGGTCATTCCGACCCATAACCGGGTCAAGGAGCCGAAGCTCCTTAAGGCCGAGACCTAGGACCGAGAGCACAGACCGGACCGAGCCTCTGTTGGCTGAACCCGGAGGACCGAGCCCCTGTAGCTGAGACCGAGTCTCGGTCTCTGTCGCCTCCTATGTTCGCTTCTCGCTCTGTCGCTTCCTCTCCTCTCTGTCGCTTATTCACTCTCTGTCTCTACCCGCCTCTCGGTCTCTGTCTCTTCCCTCCTCTCGGTCTCTGCTTCTTCTCTCCTCTCTGTCTCTTTGCGCCTCTCTGTTCTCTCCTCTCCTCTCGGTTCCTGCCCTCTCTCTTCTCCCCTCTCGGTTCCTGCCCTCTCTCTTCTCCCCTCTCGGTTCCTGCTCTACCTCTTCTTCCCTCTCGGTTTCTACCCTCCCTCCTCTCGGTTTCAGCATCAGAAGGCCGAACCTCGGCCAGATTTCGGAAATTTGTCACTTTTAGCCCATTTTTGATATTTTTAACATTTTAAGCCCGTTTTTCGTGATTTTAAAGCGGGATTTTCTCCAGAAATTATATTTTAACATAATAAACCCTAAATATTCATAATTTAAACATATTTTGATGAAAATCATTATCTAAATAATAAAAATAAAATGGGTGAATTATTAAAGGTGGAGTGTTGACTTTGCCTTATCCAATGTCACAAGCAACCACCCCACACTCACTCTTTGACTAACCACACCTCCCCACCTTACCTAAGTCACATCAATGCCCCTTGCACTCATTTTCCACCCATTCCCACGTTTTTAGAGCTGGAACAAACATCCTCTCTCCTCATTTCTCTCATTTTCTCTCATTTCACTAAGTATCAAACACCACTTTTCTCTCAAACTTTTTCTCCACCAAACTCGAGATTCAAGCCTAATTATCAAGTGTTCTACCACATTTGGTAAGCATAATCCATTCTCCTTATGATTATCTCACTTATTTCCACTCAAATCATGGATATCTTATACAAACTCCATCATATTTGTGTTAGAGCTTCGAATCTTCAAGTGATTCTTCAAGTGTTCTTGGCTTGAACACTTCTCTTTTTCAACACTTATCTACTGAAATCACTCAAGGTGAGTTCATACCCCTACATTTTCAGGTTTTCTCAAGTTTTCAGGGGGGGGGGGGAATACAAGTTAAAACACCAAGAACATAACTAAATTTTTCTAACAGCCTTCATCAGAAAAGTTCAACTCCATTCACGGACTGTTTTAGGCATCTTAAACATTTTTGTTTTCAAAACTGTATAGGGTGCAAATAGTTCAAGTTTTTAGCTTTAAAATGACTACTTGCACATCTCCATACGATTTTTCTACAATTTATGGTGATTTTTACAAAACTGTCTATCATTTCAAACAACAATCCGGACCAGTCTATGATTATAGAATTTTTCACCCAAGTTGGAGGTCATTAAAAATGGTGATAAAAATTATGAATAAACTAGACACATTTTTTGAACTCTCAGAATTTACAGATCTAGTTTTCGACTTCGTATGATTTTTCTATGATTTTTCCAAAACATGGCAGAATGGCTAAAGTTAGCCAACAGCATGTAAATATCATAACACTTTGTATTATTTTGAGCAAAGTGTATAAT